CAAACAATATTTCAAACTAGAAAGCTTATCACGTCTCTGCACACTTACACACCTCGCGAAGCTCAAATTTTACCTTTGCTCTCACTATCACCAAGTTTTTTAAGAGACACAACTCCCTTTCTTCAGAAACCTCTTCTTCCAAAGTCGCCTCTATTTCTCAACTGTCCTATATCTATCATTTATAATGCTACATAAGCCACAAAGTCTCAGTAACTTTGCTATTATTGAAGGAACAACATGAATCTTATCAGGAAAACTGACTGGAAAGCCTTTAAAAGATTCTGTAGACAAAGTTGGCAGTAGAGATGATTCCGATAAAACAACAGACTAGAAATGCATTCAAAAGTGCCAGAAAATCGAGTATACAGAAGAGCTTTGAACTGAATACAACAAATCCCTAACAGAAACTTAAGCTGAATAATCCCAAGTTTGTGGTAGATTCTGTAAGACACTCTCCAAGAGAGTGGCACTTCATGAGAGCTTATTCTGGTGCACTGCTTTTCCCAGTGAAAAATTACAAATCCAACACCGAAAACCTGGATAAATTCAGAACTAGAGCCCCCAAACTAACGTCCAGGGAGGATTGGTAGTTCGCGAAGAAACTTATATATTAGGAGAAGATTGAACTTCTACTTTGGAAACTGTTTGGTTCTGGGAAACATAACAAAAAACATGGAGACTGATTGAGGCCTTCATTCCGAAACCTGGCAAAATCGTATAGGATTCTGAGACCAATCGTTTACTTCGAAACGTTAGAAAAACCACTTGATATGCATATTAAGGACATATTATTAGCTAGTATACTATTGCTACTCGACCAATATGCCTAAAGATGAAGGTCAGAAAACAGCTTTTTGTTAGGTCACGGAAAAAGCAGAATGCGCTTACCAGTACAAGAGACACAATTTTGCTGCTTCGTCAGACAGACAGAGGACGCATTCGTCCTTAGAATCAATCATTCAAACATTGACTACAAGAATAATCAATCAAGACATATAGATTGCATACTTAGAGGAAAACTGGTGCACACGACCAGTTTGCCTTTGCTATGGAACCCTGTTATGGTCTACGTCTTCTGGACCATAATGCATTGGGCTATGCAGACGACTTAGTAATCCTGGTCCAGATTACACTAATATACAAGTTCTGCGGGTACGCATTCAGTTGGTTCCTGGAAGAAGGTCTAAACATATTCAAATCGGTCACAGAAGGCTGAGTTAGAGGAACTGAGACATCTACAACTACAACGAGGTAATCCCAGAATAACGTGGAACCACATCAGGTGCAGAATACACTAATATACGAGTACTGCGAGTACGCATGCAATTGGTTCCTGGAAAAAGGTCTAAACATATTCAAATCGGTCACAGAAGGCTAAGTTAGAGGAACTAATGCATCTACAACTACAACACGGTAATCTCAGACTATCCTGGAACCATAGTCAGTACACAATACACCAATATACAAGTACTGCGGGTACGCATATAGTTGGTTCCTGGAAGAAGGTCTAAACATATACAAATCGGTCACAGAAGGCTAAGTTAGAGGAACTAATGCATCTACAACTACAACAAGGTAATCCCAGACTATCCTGGAACCATAGTCAGTACACAATACACCAATATACGAGTACTGCGGGTACGCATACAGTTGATTCCTGGAAGAAGGTCTAAACATATTCAAATCGATCAAAGAAGGCTAAGTTAGAGGAACTAAGACATCTATATCTACAACGAGGTAATCCCAGACTAACCTGGGACCACAGTCAGTGCATAACACGCTAATATACGAGTACTGCGAGTACGCATGCAGTTGGTTCCTGGAAGAAGGTCTGAACATATTCAAATCGGTCACAGAAGGCAAAGTTAGAGGAACTGAGACATCTACAACTACAACCTGGTAATCCAAGACTAACCTGGAACCACATTCAGTGCTACCAACATTCTGGTAGCACTGATGCCAGACATACGTCATTGCGGGAAGACAACGAGCTTAATCCAGAAATTTTATATTGACTATACTCAATTGGGCAGGGTGCAAAGACTTGCTTGATTGGGAATAACGGAAGCAATGAAAACCATACTAACATCAGCACAGGAGAGACTCCTGAATTTACTCCATAGACATCCTGTAGCAAAAGTGGGCTAAATTCAGATTGGAAAAATTAACCCAGCTATTAACGATTAATGAAAGGAACATAATCCAGTCTAGTAGGCCGTAGGCCTGAAGTACTTTAGGTTTCATTCGACTACGACTCGGATTTTGTTCCAGGGTCGTCCCAAAAGTACCCGGATTGACCTAGAGATGGCGGTAGTTATTTTAAAAATATCATGGTATTAGAAGTACCTACACAATCTATAAAGCATTTGTTTCAAGTTTGAAGACGCTGCGCTGTTTGGTATTTGTTTGGCAGCCATCACTAGCGAACGTTTTCGGCGAATTTGTGAAAATGGAGAAAACTGGTCGTCGTGGTACAATACTTTTATTTGAAAGGCCTCAGTCCAAGCAATATAAAAGCTGAATTGGATTCTACTTTAGGTGACTCTGCTCCTTTTTATACAACAGTAAAATATTGGATAGCAGAGTTTAAAAACAGTATTGAACTCATTGAACGTCGCTCAGAAAAGTGTATAGAGCTGCAAGGAGATAAAGTTAAAAAATAAAAACATTGTTTTCTATTTGTATTGTCTTCAGCGGTACGTTGGTCTGGGGAAGTTACTTTTACAAAAAAAACATGTTCAACAGGAATAATTGGAATGTCAATATTTATGAAAGTAATGGAAATTTCTAGATTCGGTGACAAACAACGTCTACAAATATTGTTTAATTTCCCACTGACCTCGCAAAGTCACAAACATTAAAAATACCGCCGAAAATTCTCTACCAAAACAATCTCAACGAATATCGGCAAGTTAATTCAAATTAACTTACCGCTAAATATCAAACCAGGAAAACCAAGTGACCTAATCCACTTTGATCAGAGAAAATCCTGTTGTTTGTCCTGGCTAGGCTGTTTTCTTATCACCGATATTCGACCAACTAATATGTGTACACACTATCAAAATCCAAAATATATGCAACTTCCACAAACGCGGTCACAATTCAAACTGAGTGGCATGCTTAAAAAGTTTACAACACTATGAAATGACAGTGGCGGACAATTCAGAATGCGGAAACGTTAAAAAACAGGCGAAATTTTATAATTTTTCAACATGACAGACTGTTACATCAGTCTTATCGGTAAATATTCGTTTTGAGGGCACCCGGCGATTTTGAAAAAATGTTTTTGAGTGTATCTACGTATTTTGATGCATAGATTACGAATCCGAAAGAAAAAAGCGGCGCTCTCCCTTATTTACAAAGTTACGGCCCTTCAAAGTTCAGAAAGGGGCAACTTTTCGGCCTTATTTTTTTTAAACCGCAAGCATTTATTCACTGCGCCACCTTTACATCTTATTCCTCCTTAATTGACACTTTTCAATTCAACAATCAACATTTTTCTTATAAAAAACTTAAATTAAAAACGAATGCTTCTTCTGGTGACATTCTTCTATTTCTAGGTTAGTTACTAGTGACATTTCAGAAAAAAACGGTTGGTATTTGCCGCAGCATACTATTTGAAATTCGTAGATTTGAATTTTTAGTTTGACGTAAGTGATTAGAAAAACACAAAATGAATTTTAACGAAATTAATAATTTAGTGAAAGTAATTTACGATCTAAAGAATGAAGGCAGAAAAAATTTGAATTTCTTTAGGAATATTGACAGATTCAGTCGTACCAACTATGCCATTAACCTCAAAAACGTAAAATACAGAGATATATAACCAAAAGCAGCTCAGTACATTTTTTAACATTTTTATTGGAAAAATGTTGAAGTGAAAAGTGTCAACAAAGGAGGAATGAGGTGTAAAGGTGGCCCAGTGAATAAATGCTTGTGTTTTCACACATATTGTGAAAAAGAAGGCTGAATAGTTGCCCTTTTCTGAACTTTGAAGGGTCGTAACTTTGTGAATTAGGGAGAGCGCCGCTTTTTTCTTTCGGATTCGTAATCTACGCATCAAAATACGTAAGTACACTCAAAGTTTTTATCAAACCCACCAGGTGCCCTCAAAACAAATATTTACCCTCTTCGTTCTGCCTTTTTCCTTCGTGATTTTTTTCTGAGTCTCTTTCTAGTTCTATTTTCCCTCTTTCCCTCGCAATCTGTTTCTCACTCTCCCAATCTCCTTTCGTCATCCTTTCTTCCTCTCATACTCTTTTCACTTTCTCATTATTGAAAAACAGTCTAGGCTGATACTCCATCCATTCACCTTTATACTGAAAGTTGTTTTCTGTCTCCATTTTTTTATCTGTTTCAATTGTACTTAATATGCTGAACATAAATACATTAGTATATATAGTAAATGTTCTCAGAAAATGCAAAAATCGAAAAAACTCGAATTCGTGAATTTTTTAACCATTATGTGCAGTTGGCCGCAGTGGTAGTGCGCCCGACTCATGATCGGAAGGCCGTGGGTTCGATTCCGCCTCGACCAGATATTTTTCTCGACAGAATTTACCTAGTTGAAGCTGGGATGATTCTGCAACCCTGTTAGGAATCACACGTTAATAGGTAAGACCTCGTTAGTCCTTAGCTCGCACAAGTTTCTCAACTTCTGAGAGTTGTCGTTCGTACGGGGGCGACAGCTGATTAACGGAAAAACAGATTTTTAAAACAGAATTTCATCAAAAAAAGGGACTGCTGCAGATTTATTCAGTTGAAAAGTTTATTTATTGAATTTTAATTGTATTCGTGTCATAGAAAATCTCATAAAATACAAATATACATGTAAATCGTACTATTGAATTTATGTACACCATTCTGACTACGTTATTAATTATAATATTTTCAAAAACGTTATTCTTGTTATTTATAAATATCTTATCTTGAATTTCAATCACTCATCCATTAGTTTTTGTCTCTTTGTTGGCATTTCTTCATCTATAGATTCGACAAACCTTTCCAATTCTAGTTGATCCTCGAATTCCAGTCTGCATTGGTTTTTCATCCACGATTTCATCTGAATCATTAACTTCCTCGTTGATTTTTTTCACAACCATGACAATTTGAGCATAAATTTGTGCATTTTAAACTATGTTTTCGACAGCCACATTTTAAACTGTTACATCCAGTTTCTCAGCTGCAGCAAATAGTTTTAAGCAATACTTCAGGAAATAATTCCTTTTCTGTAAATTGTGACATAATGTGATGTTGCTTCCAGCCCCAATCTGTTGCTGTCAGTTCGTTACCAAACCAAGTTCAAACCTGATAATATGTCCTGTAACAATGTTGTTCTGCTGCTCCTTTTGTGGGTGGGAAGTTTGCCAAAATGAAAGATGATTTAATTTTTGCCAATTGATATTTGTGAAATTTTAATTGATTCAGTGTTATTTTTACATTTATAAATAGATTACTATGATTATTATTGCTTTCTAAACCTGAGTTTACGCTCGTCAGTCCCTATTCCCTGAAACCCCGATACGTTCGGGAGGGCGCGCCAGCATTATCAACCAATGACCACTCCCCACACAGTGGGGTAAGTGATCACTGGGTCCGAGAATCATGTGCCCTGAGCAAGCGCAGTGAGCCAAGATTGACAGCCTCGATATTTTATCCGTTTTTCCTCCTCTTTTCTAACGATAAGAAAAGACGATATGGATATAGGCCGAGACCGCATATGCTGGACATGCTGATAGCAAGTGCATTAGGGTCTCGGGCGCCTCGCGGCAGGTTCTGCACCTTGTGTCAGTAACCTTTATACCCATCGAGCGACTGCGGTAGAATAAGGTGTTTAAGACACCATCCTGGCAAGCCATGATGAACCCCTCACTTTCCGACTTCAGCCCACTCGACTTGGGGACAGCAAAAGTCAGGCACTTTGATAAGCCAAGGTCTCCAATATTATTGAAGAAGACCCCAAGCATTGGCTTATCCTTGTGTTTCCGCAGAAGTGAGATGATCTCTGAGGTTTTTATCCGAACTATTTGCTGAACGAGTTCCAAGTCCTAGGTTCAATTATTATTATTATTACTACAATTATTATAAAGAATCTATCAGAAAGTTATCGTGACCAATATTTGTCGCAATCTATTGTATTAGATTCAGTTCTTCACTAAAATTCATATCCGACAAAGAAACATTCACTAGTCTATGGATTGTGTTCATTTAGATGAGTGGAAGAACTATGAATAATAATATCGTATGAGACGGTTCACGAAAAATTGAAAAATCCTGTTCATTTTCAATTATTTGTTACTGTCGTCATCCAAAAACTTCATTGGATTCATTTTCCTCCATCTCCATGGTGATGCAGATCTACCAAACCTATATCCCATCGAGCGTTCCTCTCCGCCACTGAGAATACAGAATCTACCATAACGTGTTTATGTCAATACCATTTCGCTGTGAAGGTTTGACCACGTGATCAGCATGGCATAACCTATCCTATGCGATGAGAGGAAAAAGCCAGAGTTTATTCGACGTAGAGGAAAAAAGAAGACACTTTAAAATTTTACGGTCGGTGTAATGTTAACTTTGTAATTGAGTGAATGCGATTAGGCATGGTTGCTTGAAAATTTAACGAATGTATGCGTTTGTCTTTGTTTGTGCCGTACTGTTATTAGCGGGATGTGTATACTGGGTGGAAGTTTTTCGAATGGCGTACTAAATGTTCGAATGTTCCTGAAATATTAGGTAATATGAGGGGCTTCCAAACTTTGACAATGGACTTGTTTCGTTTCATGTTATGGAAAATGATACTGATTTGCTTATACACTGATTGAGTTAGGGGTATATTATACACACATCGGAAAAGTCTAGGGATATTTTTATAACATACTAAATATCATAAAAATAAATGCACGAGGTCGTTTAATTTCGATTAAATTGGTACACTCGATCACCCTGTAGATTTCTATGGGTTGAACAAAGCCTGCAAAAACGGTAACTAATCTTTTATCAAGTTTTTTACAAACTGTAGGTTTTCGGCTAAAATGAATAATCTGAAAGTGTCGAGTTTGTACATTCTATGCAGTTCTTGCTCAGCAATTAAACTGGAAATATTGTGCTTTAACATGGAACGCCATCACTTACCATTGGCTGAGATGAATAGAGCTGTAGGGCTTCTTCAATGTGGCATGCGACAAAATGATGTAGCTCTTCGTTTGGGGGTCTCCCAAAGTGTTATCAGCCGATTGTGGCGGCGTTTCCGTGAAACTGGCAGTCCAGCCGAACAACATCCAGGGCGAGGACGCGCTACAACTGCAGTTCAAGACCGATTTTTGGTCTTAACCGCAAGAAGACAACCGACAATCACAGCACCTGAGTTGGTTAACGTGTTGCAGCAGACGCACCAGGTAACCATTGGTCGTGATACTGTCAGAAATCAACTGCATGAAGCAGATCTCCACAACAGAAGGCCACTTAGATGTCCACCTTTGTCGAGAGGCAATCGCGGTAGAAGATTAGAGTGGTGTCAAGAACATCAAAACTGGGATGCAAATGATTGGGCCACAGTTTTGTTTACAGACGAATCCAGATTTGGATTTCATCCAGATTCTCGTCGAGTAAGACTGTGGAGACGACCTGGAAATAATGAACGTTTGAGACACGTCCAGGAAGTCCACACATACAGAAGTGGTACAGTAATGCTATGGGGCGGAATCATGATCGGCGGCAGAACCGATCTCGTTTTTCCAAATCGCTCCCTCACAGCACGACAGTACCTCGACATCATTCTTCTACCTATCGTCCGTCCGTTTCCTGGTGCTGCTGGTGAAAACTTCCACCTAATGCACGATAATGCTCGTCCACATGTCGCGCGTCTAGTGACTGACTGGCTCACCAACGAAGGAGTTGATGTATTGCCAAGGCAAGCACAATCACCGGACCTGAATCCCATCGAGCATGTGTGGGACATGCTTCAACGAAGAATTACTCCGCATATGGGGAACATTCACACAACGTTTCAATTGAGAGAGCTTTTAATCGCTGAATGGGCAAATGTACCTCAACAAGACATTGACAATCTCATTTTGTCGATGCAGGAAAAGTATCGGCTCCAGTATTGAACCTTGTGGTACGCCATTTTTTATTTCGCCTTCTGATGAGGTTTTCACAATCTGATTCTTTCTGTGAGATAATTCTCGAACCACTTATGAGTAATTCCAGGGATGCCATAGTGATATAGCTTTTTAGCAGTAACATCAGACGAACAGATCTGTAGATCCATTCGTCGGATCTCTCAATTGCTCCAGTTGGACGAAAACCCCTTTTCCCGGACTAACAAACCTTGCAATCGTCTATTTGCGCATCGAAATAAATCGAACTAGGAACTGCGGAGAATAATCTAATGATCAATCGGCTATTAATGTAATGTTATGCGGATATTTTCTAGCAGATTAGATCAACGGGAAGATGATAGCCGCACCTGAGAATATTTACGGTGCTTGGCAGAGAAATAGGGGCACTAAACTCGTACTAAGAAGTTGCGACGCGAGAAGGGCCCTGAATACGATTCGTTGGAAGCTGACCATTTATAGGATTGAATTGAATAAAATACAAGCGGAGAGAATACAATACAATAAAATAGAAGAAAATACATTAATAGAGAAGAAAATACATTAATAGAGAAGAAAATACATTAACAGAGAATACAATACAGTAAAAGAGAAGAAAATACAAAACAATACAATAAAAGATGAGAGAGAAGAAGAAGAGAAGGGAAGGAGAGGAGAGGAGAGATGAGAGGAGGGGTGAGGAGAGGAGAGGAGGGTAGGGTGGGAGTGGAGTGGAGTGGAGTGGAGTGGAGTGGAGTGGAGTGGAGAGGAGAGGAGAGGAGAGGAGAGGAGAGATTT